GCCATTAATTTTAAAGGTCTAGTTGTTGGGACATTGCGAAGAAGGGCAGCCAGGGTACGATGCCACTCTGACCAGCTCCCACCCCAAGCAACGTGATGAGTGACCAAGAGACCTTTGACGTATACATGGACTCCAGAACTTGTGTTGTGGTTCAGGGCTTCAGGGAAACATATGGCCCACCAGGAGGAACATTATGTGTCACTACAAGATTGCAGTTGTAGAACTGGGGATCATCCTAATGAGATCCAGGTTCCTTCTGGCACTTTCCCCCGAAACAAACAGTTGAGTGGTTAGCAGCTGTCCCTCGGGCTTGCTTTCTGCCTTTCTACTTCTTCAGAATTTCAAGGCAATATTTTAAAGCCAGGAGTTAAACTGTCACGAAAGTCATGTTTTAACTCTGGAACATCCTAGAACAATCTAGAAACTTCTGCCTTGCCTTTCTGATGGAGCTGAGTCCCCACGTCCTTTTTCCAGGCACCGGGCCTCAGCTTCAGCTTCTCTGCTTGTAGTCTACACTTGGATCACTAACCCCCACTGCAGGGTCTCAGGTCTAGACTCAGGCAGCGTGTTGCATGGCACCAACAGCAGGGACTCTGAGCTAGTCAGCTCCCGGGGAACGGAGGTGCTTAGGAAAGTGGGAAGGAGCACAGAGGTTTGTGGGTACCACTGGATTGGGACCATAGGAAGAGGCTGCCAGCCTCTCTCTCTCTCTCTCTCTCTCTCTCTCTCTCTCTCTCTCTCTCTCCTGTTTGTCTCTTCAGCTGTTTCCTCCACCCCTAAGGCCACATGAGCCCTTGCCACAAGGATACGAAAGCAGCCCCTTGACAGTCCCCTTGTTTGGAGGCTTGTAGGCCCTGCTCCCAGCTTCACCTATGCCTCATACTCAAGAAGCAGACCCCTCCGAGCTGGCTTGACCAAAATCGTGTCACTCCTGGCCACAGAAATGACAAATTCACAACCTACGCTGTGCACGACCTCCTGACGCAGGCCAGTGCTCTCTCTGCATGATAACAGGGGTGCTATTATCATTCCTGCTATTGCTCCTATTATGCGGGTGCATTAGATGGCCTCAAAAGGGAGAGATAATTGGCTACCATCACCCCAACCAGTGTGATTGGTGCCACGTACAAAGAACTGAAAATTAAAGGCTGGCATTGTCGGGCCTGGTGGGGACAAAATGGATTACAAAAGAGACAAGCTCACCTGCTCCATTACACCCTCCCAGAGACATTGGTAAGAGGACAACCAATTTGGTGTCTGATTTAGATCTGTTCCTTCTTTTGTTGCCTAATGAGTGCCATGGGGGCCACTGTGGGAGCTGCAAGGTTGCCTCAGAGCAGGGTAAGGGGCAAAGGCACTCAGGAGAGCATTAAGCTCTTTAACACGGCCCCATGACCCCCTGGAGCCTCCCTCATGACCAAGTCGGTGGGGTCCTTGTTCCCAGACTTGATCATCCAGTAGAGGAGGAACATCCTGCGTTCAAAATTTCTGCGCTTCAGGCGCCGGGCAATGGTGATGGGTGTTTCCCCCTTGGCGTCTCTGTCGTGAATGGAGGCACCACGTTCCAGTAAGGGCCTGATGCAGTCCATCCTGCCCATGGCTGCAACCACATGCAGGGGCGTCCTGCCCAGAGGTGATTTGCCCAGGCAATTTGCTCCTGTAAGATAAAAAAAAAGACCCATTGGAGTAGTCTGCTCTCCCAGGCGGGAGTCCCACCATCTGACCCTGAGGTACCTCAAGAAGGGGCCAGGGACTATAGTAGGGATTAAGGGAGTGTTGACACTGCTCCCAGGGACATGGTGGCAGTCCTTATCTTATCATCTCTCCCATCCAGTCTCCTGTTCCAAGTCTATCACTGAATCTTGCTGTCTGGGGAGCACTCTTTGATGTCTTTGTCTGCCTCTTACTACACTGCTTAGTCATTCCAAAGCTATCCCCACCCCTTCTTGTGCTTTCTACTGATTCCCTTTGCTCCCAAGGCTCCAGGTCCATGCACTTCCTGTCTTTACCCATAACTACATCATTCTGCACCTGCCCCAGGCTCTTTGCACATACTATTCCTGTTACAGACTACACTTGCATTTTTTTTTCCTTAGGATTTCCGTAATTTCCTTAGCTCTTCCTCTCTACAACCTTTACCCCAACCTATACAAGCTCAGTATGCACAATGTTTAATGCATCCCATATGTGGCTAGCTATGGAATTAATCATTTGTAATCCCTGGCTAGCTTTCCCACCTAAGATCCATGCTGGCTTTTTGTCCCCAGCACACAGCTAGAGGTTCTGGGGAGGTGACAGGGGATAACAGCCTATGCATGGAGAGATCTGGGTTCTCTCTGCCTCCTGCAGACAGATGGGCTAATGACAAGAGTCCAGCATGGACTCACGGGGTAACAAAAATCATGACACAGAACTTGGCAATTCAATTCAACCCAGTCGGCACTGCGGCTGCTGCCACAGTCCGACTGAGCTATGGCTGGCTGACGAGGCGAAGCTCAAGTAGGCTTCCAGAATGCGGGCATGACTCTGTACCTCCCTCTGTGGTGGCTGCAGAGGATGGAAAACTTTGCAAAGCTGGCTGTCATTTTTTAACTGGTGCCTTCAAATACATCACGGCTCTATCAGAGCGAAGATGACTTTTTATGAGCTTGAAGGACTGCTGGGCTGTGAAAGGCCATCTTTCACTGTACAAGAGAGTGCAGAAAGGCAGTGGGGAATGGCAGAGAACATGGTGTTATCACCCAGCCATCCCTGAGCTCTGTAGCAGAGATGTGACATGCCAGGCTTCTGCCCTGGAAAGTTGAGGTGTCTCCCACCCTTCCTGGTAGAAGGGGGGTGATAGCCAGGACTGAGCAATACTGCAGATGAAAACGACAGGGCTGGAGGTGGCAGCTTAAAAGGCCAGAGGTCCTTGCTAGTCCTTCCTTTTCCCAAGGAAGTCAGAGCTCTGGGTGGTCTGAACCTGCGGCACTGTTTTTAGTGGATTGTCTTTCAATCAGGGGTGCCATTCTCCCAACCAGGGAGAACAAAAGATCCCCTGACATCTGTCCAGACACAGTGCTGACTACAGCTTTAAACAGAGGGACAGACGGACAGATGGACAGATGGTCACCCTCAAGGGGAGACAGGAAGAAAAGGAGGAGCGGTGAGCATCTTTCTGAGGATCTAATTTGAGAGGAACCTCCAGCCAGCCTGTTGGCCACTCCTTGTGATACCCAAGGTGAGGTCCACTGCATTTCTGTGGGGCCAGGATGAAGACAGACTATGGGCTACTCGGAAAGGACAAGTTTGGAAGTCCTGGACACCCCGTGTCTTACTGTCCTATAATTTTGGTCCTGCCACAAGAGAATGTTCTAGAGATCCAGTCCAGAGATGTGCAAACCTCCATAAGAGCCCCGCAGGAGACGTGTTTGGTGGGTGAGGACTGGGGTCTAGGGAGCCACTGCTGAAGAAACAAGATAGATCACTGTGTCCTCCCAACCAGACCAGGTAGTGCTTTCTGCGGAATTACCAAGTCCTAGGAGATACTGCATGGCATTCACGTGGCCTCTGTGTGCAGAGATGTACAAGGCCACAAACGCCCTCTGGGCGGTCCACTGCCTCCACTGCTCCCCCTTAAAGTGCTGTGAGTTCGCCGTCCGGTAGAAGGTGTCCTCGCTGATGCCAAGACAAGACAGCTGGATGAGAGAAACAGGTCAGGGTCATCTCCAGAGCGTGACCCACACCCCAGGGTGCATGAGGTCCTACTTGATCCAAACCAGGGAGCACAGTGGGAGGAGGGAGATGCTGACAGGGGACACTGTTCGGTGACCTGCATGCCCTCAGGAAGGGCAGCCACCCCTGGTCAGGCAGGGGACACAGGATGGCCTTCCTGTCAGGTGTTCTGAAGGGAGAAAGTAACTTTGCTAGTGTTCAAAGGAAGATGTTTGTGGCCCTTTGGAAATAACAACACAACACGGTATCCTGAAGGAGCTCAAGAAGAGGGAAGTCCTCTTGGAGCTGTGATGGATTCTGCATTCCTTTCCAATCTACTTCCGTGCCCACTGTCAACTTCTTGAAACTTTCCGAACTCTGCTGGGAGGTAGCTAGCGTGCCATAGAACCTTCTTGGGGATGGGAAGAGGGCCATGGGTTACCACAGTGAGGACCGTGCTTCAGAGGTCCAGGGTCAGGGAGGGGGTGGGATGAGGAGGGGCAATGGGGTCAGGAGCACAGGGAGCAGAGGGCAACAGTTACCTCCTCAGGCAGGAGGGGATAAGCCGAGGCAGTGGCTAAATTTCCAGGAAAGAAGAGAAAAACTGGGAAAGGAGAAATTGGGGATGTAGAAAAATGCCTGGAAAACATACTACGGGTGGGGTTGGATAGACCTCCCTCCTGTGTCTCAGGCCTGGGGTCTGTGATACAGAGACTACCACCACCCTCCTTTCCCCAGATGCACCCAGCACTCAACCTTCCCTTGAACCCTGTCCCACCAGGAAACTGCCTCTTCCTCCCCAGAATCTCAGAGATCTACCCCTCAAAGTCTTCAGAAGGAAGAGCACACACTTGTCCTGGAGCCAACCATTCATCTTCACAGAGGGGGTGAGCATTCCTGTCCTGGTCTTCCTTCCCATCCCCCCCCCCCCCAGCAGAGACAGCGGGTTGCCCAGCAGGGGGTCTGGCACACAGGCTGCTGTCCAAGGTGACCCCATCCCCCTAATCAGACAGAACCTCCTAGGATATTTCTGCTCAGTTGCTCTGGCACACAAGTCTCCGAGCATGGAGCTACAGCCCCGTTCTTAGTATTAAAATTTCATTGTCAACTTGACCAACACGTAGATATTCGGAAAGGCACCCCTTGAGCTCCACCGCGGGTGAAGTAAACACATTTCTAAGCTGTAAAGAAGTGAACCCAGGGGACTCAAGTCCAGAGTGGCTGGAGATACGCTATTTTTCTTCCCTACTCTGAGGCCTTTATTCAAATGCTCATGTTAAAGATGGGGGGGGGGGGTCCCTCAACCCCTAATATTGAAAGAAACATGAAACCACCTTACTGGGGTCCCCTTCCACGGCTGCCAAGACCAGTTCTGTCCAACCATCGTAATGCCATATACATAATGAAATCACTGCGTCAGGGATGACATCGTAGAACCTCAGGGTGGCATCGTCCATCAAAATCCCTGTGGGGAACAATTTTTCCTTTTAACAAAATTAGGATTTAAAGAGAAATCACTGTATCAGTTGAGATAGTGTCTGACCTTGAATCACGCAAAGATACATTTAAGATCTTGAGCAAAGGGGGGGAATGTCTCTCCCTTGATGGCTGCACAGGAGCCCGTTTGCTGCTTCTAATGCTCTTTAGAAAATTAATTTGGCTCAGCTCAGATCGAAGCTGGACCCAGAAAGAAAAAAAAAACATACACAATAGCAATGATTTATAAAATTTTGTAATTACAGCTTGTCCTGTTGGGGAAAAATACATGAGTCAGTGAAATCGTTTTATGAGGCAAACTCTACAAATAGAACTACTTAAATTTGAGCTATACATCACAGGCCCGACAGTGTACTTAGCAAGTTATATACCTTCGACTCAATACCGAGTTCAGGGAATGCTGCCATTAGCTGGCTAAACAGATGACAGTGACGCACGAAAGGCCTTGCAGATGACAGATAGCCCTCGTCAGGGTTTCTCCACGTCGTCTTAACTGACACTCTCAACCAGGTAACTAACCCTCTCTACCCCACACACCACAGTCTCCATGGCTTCTGTCGTGACACATCAGCCACACCCACGGCTAGCTCTCGCAGTGAAGGACGTCCCCCAGACATTGCCCCTGGTGGGGACACATTGTCCCCATATAAGCCTATGGTAACATCAGAAGCAAAATATCAACACTCACTGTATTTGGACCTGAGTGTCAAGAGTTCTCGTCTGACCCAGCTTGGCGTCTTGAATAAAATGGATACGTGAAGAACAGAGGACCTAGGTAGGCCCCTAGGCCCACATACATAAACCAGCCAGGCTTAGTGGCGCACACCTGTCATCCCAGAATTTGGGAGCTGGAGACAGGAGGACCAGGAGTTCAAGACTACCCTGAGATATATGAGAGCCTGCCTAAAAAATAAATAGATAGATAAATAAATATATAAATAAATAGTTATAAATAAATAAATAGTTGAAGGGGCCTTATGTAGGGAATGTTTTTTGAAATGTGGTGGTATTTAGTTTCTCTTAAAGAAACACATACACATGTTTCTTTCTTGGTCACCTACCATCTTAGGGACCACAGAAGACTTGGGTTGTCTATAAGCAATAATGGTCTACCCAAGCTATACCGGGACTCTCTCAATTGAGCAGAATCCGTGAATGTTCTGGTTTCTTGCCCCTCCAGCCTCTGTGGCTCTCCCTCCAGGGGAGCAAAGTGAGGCTGGGCCCCCGCTAGGATGTGAGTGACAGAGCAGACTCCCCCCAGGCTCGTGGGTACCACTTGATGACCAGACTCTCAGGAGGAGGAAGACAGAAAACTCTGGCCAGCAAATCTGTAAGTTAGGGTCTTATTTGTGGCTTGAACATGGGAGCCAGTCTGTCACTAGCCTAAGACAACTTGACTTTCTAACCTCTTTGTACATGTCCGGGAAGAGATGGGTTTCTTCACTCACAGTCATTCCTATACAATCGCTAGCACATTCCCTCTGCAGACAGTCAGCCACTGAGACAAAAGCTACTAATTATCAACAGACACATAAATGATTGGCAGGGGCACTGCTAGCCCATGAATTCACTTGACTTGTTTTGGCCTGGCCATCGAGACACTCTCCCGCCATGATCTCACTTGCCCTTCCTTCCCTCTGCCACCTTGGAGGTGGGCAGATGGGCCAGCCAGTTATTTATAGGCAGGGGCCCAAATGTCTCTTAGCGACAGATCGGCACCATCTCCACCGTGCCAGCCGCAGTCAGCCCAGCCCAGGGGTCAGGCCTCCAACAGTTGCTAAGTGACTGCTGAGTCTCAACACTGTGACATCAGTGTGAAGTCACCCCACCTCTCATTCCCTCTTCAGCTTGCTTGAATTTCTTGCTCATTGGTGAAGACAAAAGAACCAGCAAGTGTCCAGAGTTAGGAGGATACATAATTTTCAAATTCCTTGTTCCCCCGACTATGCCTCATCTCTTTCATAACTTGTCAGCTATAGAATGAGGCTCAAAACACAGCTTAGAGCTCCATAAAGCTTCAAGAATATCGAAAGCATCTTTACACAACTCTAAGGAAATATATGTGCCATGGAAAACACTTAGCCTATTTTTTAAGAGCAGCAAGGAAAAGTGTTTTGGCCTTGCCTGCACACACTGGCAAACTGCAGAGTCATTCCTGTCCACCGGGGAACAGCACAGAGAATTCTGGAGCTAATGGGGCTCTGCTTTCCGGATTAGGAAACTGAGCCCAGGAAGGACAGCTAGAGAACGCTGAGCTGAGCGTGGGGACAGACTGCTTTCAGAGCTGTCTCCATCGCTCCAGGCCCTGCAGTGCTCTGCAGTGTCTCCGGACTACCGGCTGTTCGTTCCCCAGGCAGCCTAGAGACTCTCTCTCTCTCTCTCCTCTGTCTTTCTCTCTCTCTCTCTCTCTCTCCCTCCCTCCCTCCCTCCCTCCCTCCCTTTCTCTCTCTCTTTCTTCATTTTCTTGAAGGGTTTTGCGTTGATTTCCATCGGGTGGGAGATGATGGAGCCCAAGGGGCTTTGATCCTGTTCTCATATCCTAAACATTGTAGGGAATGGGGCCAGGGACAGCCGCGTCCTCAGGCTGAGGGAAGGATCTAGATGGAAGGTGAGCCTCTCACCTCCACTGGGTGCCTCCCCATGGAATTTGTGTAGACCAGGGTTTATGGGGGTTCTGATTCAAGAGAGCTGTAGGTATTAGGTTCTAATTTCGCTGGGCTCCCTTTGAGCCCCCCCCCCCCCCCAATATGGGAAAGGACATAGCTTGGACCTTGGGGTTTAGATAGACTAGTAGTGTCAGAGTTAGGGGTCCTGATGCTTTGAGTTCTGGGGTCCTGATGAGGGCAGGATTTACTCTGGACTTGGGGTTCTCATGACAGCAGGGGTTGCTGGCTGCTTAGGGGTCCTGGTTTAAGAGCAATCTATGGCCGAATTTAGGGTCCTTTCATGGACTGGTTTAGGCAGCTGAGAGTGAGGAGTCAAACAGCTCTCCCCTGAGAGTTAGGGTCCTGCTACCAACAGAGTTTGCCCTAACTTTGGGGTTCTGCTATGAGTAGGTTAGGCTAAGGGATGTGTATTGAGTTTTGGGGTCCTCATGAATAAGGGTTACTTTAAACCTTTGCTTCCTCACTGGCACACAGCCACATCAGCTTTGAAATGCTCCTAACACATGATGTTGGTGGGGGTGGGAAATCGAAGAGAGGCAGGCTTGGCTTCACTCTGGGGGGTCCTGCTGTAGGCAGGCTTTATTTAATCCTTGGAACCCTTAGGAGACACTTAGCTTGGACTGGGATCCTGCTGTGATCATGCATAGTTTGAGGAGTGCCTTTCAGAGGTGCACAGAATTGGCTTTGGGTTTGGGGGTCCGGATGTGGGCAAGGTCCTTGTGTAGACTGGAGTTTGGCTGCACAGATGAATGGTGAGCTATGGGGGGAGGAGTGTCTCAGAATTGGGTACGTAGGCTTGGTGTTGATACTTACGATGTGGGTGGAGTCTGCTCTGGGATTTAGGGTGCTGGAGTGGCCGGGGGCAGCTTTAGAGCATTTGAGGTTCAAACACAGCAGTGTGTGGACAGATTTTGGGACCCTGAGTTTGTCTCAGTCTTCAGTATCCCTTTGTGGACACAGCCATGGAGGATTCCAGGTCCTGAGGATCATGTGGTTAGCCTGGGGACTTGGGGCTCATATTTGACCAGGTTTGTTTTGATTTGGGGATCCTAAGGTGGGTAGGGTTGGTTTTGAGTTTCAGTCTCTTTATGTAAATGCAGCTGCTGGAGGATCTGGGGTTCTGAAGGAGTGACAGCTAGTCTGGAGACCTGGGGTTCAGTCTTGGGTAGGTATATTCTGGATTTGGGGATACCAGGGTAGGAAGGAAGCATTTGGTTTAATTTTGACATTCTTATGTAAATAAGTTGTTGAAGTAGTTGGGGTTCTAAGAGTGATGGCTAGCCTAGATACCTGAGGTTCAAACTTGGGGTTCGGGTTTGTTCTGAGTTTGGGGTCCCTGGATAGGCAAGGTTTGTTTTGCATTTTAGCATCTCTATATGCACACAGTAAGGGTTTGGGGGGCTACAGTAGTAGTTATCCTGGGAGAGTTGGGGGTTCAGCCTTGGGTAAATAGGTATGTTTGTTCTAGGCTTGGGGTTGTAGGATGGGCAGGTTTTATTTTAAATTTTAGCACCGTTGAATGAATATATACTTGGTGTGAGTTGGGGGGTGTGTCTGTGTATTAGTGGCTGATGGGGGGCGGATTTGGACATTCAACTTTGTTCTGGGTTTGGGGGTTCCAGGATGGGAAGGTTTCTTCTGAATTTTAGCATCTGTATGTAGATACAGTTGATGGAAGCATCTAACAGTCATGGTAAGTCAAGATTTGGTCATGTTTGCTCGCATTTGGGTGGGGGGTCCCTGACGTGGGTAGGATTTAATGTTTAGTTTCCTTGAGTGACCATTGGGGGTAGAGGAATTGGGTTTCTGAGGCTATGATAGATAACTAGGAATCCTGAGACCTGGAGTTTAGTCTTGGCTAGCTTTGTTCTGGGTATTGAGGGTCCTGGGACTGGCTGGCTTCTTTTGTGTTTGTGCAGTCCTGTGTGGATACAGTTGATGGAGTTTTAGGGTTTTGACCTAGTTATTGCTGGCTTGCAGATTTGGGGTTCAATCTTGGGCAGATGTGCTCTGAGATTGGGGTTCTAAGACCAGCAAGGCTCATCTCAGCTTCTGGAATGCTTGCACAGATAGCCTGGCTACAGAATTTGGGGTTCACTACTTAGGGTTGGTTTTGGATTCAGGAACTCACAGGGAAAAGGCCTGTCCTTGATTGGGGGGTGGTCTGTTGAGGTCTAGTTTTGCTTCAAGTGATGGCTTGCTTGTGTTCCTTATAAAGACAGAGGATCTGGGCTGCCAGGAGGGTCTTGCTGTGGATTGAGAGTTGAGATTCTGAGTAGCCTGAACTTGCTCGAGGTTGGCAGACTGGAGTCAACAGACAAAATGTTTATGAACCAGGTCCACCTTTACATTTGGGGTCTAATGAGAAACCTGTGTGTTTGGAGTTGGGGGCTCTTGAGTGGCCTGCGCTCCAAGGGGCCCTTCTAGATGGGGTCCAGGGTGATTGGAGTTGACTTGGTCACTTTGGGACCTCTGGTAGTTAGATATATTTTGGAGACCCAGGGCAGGAGTGGGCCGGGGCCCTTGTGTGGAAGGAGCTCGTGGGTGCCGGAAGGGACTGGGCAGGGGCCACCTTGGTCCAGGAACTGCAGCCGCTGTAGGTTGAAGGGGATGCCGACCATCAGGTCCAGCTCCTCTTTGAGCTCCCGCACCGTCATGTCATTGCGGCAGTTGGCCACGCGGAACAGCTCCCCAGTCTCCTCCAGTTTCACCCGCAGGAAGAAGACGTCAGGGGCCAAATCTGGCGATACAATGGAGGCGCGCGGGTCCCCTGATTGTCCCTTAATCCGCGCGCGGGCATGGCTCGTGGGATGAGCGGTGCGCGCGCCCGTCTTGGGGTCGTGCCGAGGGGTACCCCCCTGCGGCTTCCGCGGCCGCACGCCCGCCCCCGCCACGTCCGCCGACCTCCGCATGGCCCGCGTCATCCCGCGCGTCATCACCGCCCCCGCTTGGGCCCCCGAGACGGGAGAGGGGGCGCCCACGCTTCCGGTTCCCCGCCACCTCCCGCCGCAGCCCTCGCCAGCCTCCTAGCGCTGTGGGGAATCGACTTCCGTCTGTCCAAGGCAGAATGCAAAATCAGGGAGAACCATCCGGAAACGCTAGGCCCACCGTTTCTAAGGTGGGCTCCAGGACTAACCCCATGTGCTTCCAGAACACAGTAACCCAAGCAGACCTGGACCACAAAGGAAGTGACCCAGGCCTGCGTGGAAACGGCATCAAGCCCATGCATCCTGACACTACAGCATCCTCGAGGGAGGAAAGTATGGAATACATTTCATGGGACAGGCTAGGCTAAAACCTTTTCAAGTAGAGCTCACACGGGGGGTGGGGGTGGGGACCTCAAATATCAGACCCCAAGTAAGGTCTTCAGGGGTTGAAGGAAGCACCAGGGAAAGGGCAGGAGGCCAGAATACCTTTGGAAAACTCTGTTGTTACCAAAATAAAATATAGCTTGAAAAAATGCATTTGGTACAGCAGTTACAGAAATATGGGCTGAGAGGCACAGTGGTCCAGGCCACCCACGCACCTGGGGACAGGGGTAGGGTTCACGATGACATCCTTGACTACACAGTAAGCCAGTAACACAAAGGGGGAGGGGCTTAATCCTTTTATATCGAAGAGAGGTTCATTCTAAACAACAGATAACTCATTTGTACAGCGCCCAGGGTGGCCCTTTTTCCTGCAGAACTGGGATCTGCAGAACTGGATCCCAAGGCTTCACCCAGGCAAGGTTAGCTCTCTACCTATCACAGAGCCATAGTCTACACAGGAGGCTGGCCTTGTTACCTGAAGGAAGTGTTCACAATGGATCTCAGTGCCCAGATTCTACCTCAGAACACCGGTCTTTGTTCTTTTATTTTTGTTTATTCAAGACAGGTTTCTGTGTAGCCCTGGCTGCCCTGGAACTAGCTCTGTAGACCAGCTGAGCTTAAACACAGAGATCGGCTTTCCTTTGCTTCGGGAGTGCTGGGATTAAAGGCGTGTGCCACCACCGCCCTGGCTTTTTGTTTTTCTTTATAGAAAATTATGCTCTGTAAAGAATCCAAGATTCCAGCTGATTTTAATAGAGCTATCTTCATTCACTTCGTAGGCAATAAAAGCTTGCTTGCTGTAGAAGCCCAGCAGTATGGTCTGTCTATTTGCTGTAGGCACACAACCTAGACTGTTCTTGTTTTTTTTTTTAAAAATCTTTTGCCTCTAACTTTGATAAATTAACTCTGCCAAAGCAGCCCAAACGTCGTCTGTGCTTGCTGAGTTCTTTACACATTTCCCATTCTGTTTGGCAGTGTAGATTCTTCTTTTTAAATAACAAGATCAATGGCATTTGGGGACCTACAGGGGTATTCTGTATACCAGGAAATTCAACATATAAGTTTACAGGATTTTTGTTGTTTTGTTTTTTAAGCTCCTGGGTCCCATGGGTTGCTCTCCCACCTTTGCCATGTTAAAATCAGAAACAAAGCTGGGGTAGACACAGGTATAGAGCCATACCCAAATGTCTACAGTATACAGATTAATGAATGGAAAGCTTTTTAATCTATACAGCATCTTTCTGTTTTCTGTGTACTTAAACCAACATAGAGTACCTAACTCCTCAAACCAATGTTGCCTGGAGAAAGTGCTGGTCAAAATTATGGCTTCTTTTTTCTTTTGAGTCTAAAGTGTAAGTCAATATCCATGCATCTCAGCAGTCAGCCTCCTTCCCCCACCTGAGTCCCTATTTTTGTTTGTTTTTGTTTTGTTTTTCGAGACAAGATTTCCCTGTGTAGCTTTGGAGTCCATCCTGGACTCACTCTAGACCAGGCTGGCCTCAAACTCACCTGCTTTTGCCTCCCGAGTGCTGGGATTAAAGGCATATGTCACCACTGCCTGACTGAGTCCCTATTAAAAACAACCTATGGCTCGCTACTCTCAAAGACCAATACACATTTCTTCCCATCTCTGAAGGGAATATCCTGAGTACAGCAGAGGACACAGTTCAAAGGTCACCAAAGCAGCTGCATGGAGCTACATGTGCAACAGTTCCAGAGCAGGTCACAACTTCACATGACATGTTTGTCCACTGTTGGGAGGCTAGTGTTACAGTCATATATTTTCTTCCTGTCAAGTTATTTACATATGTACAGTATTTCAGCTGGAGATAAAATACAATGCCATAAACTCCATTTTCTCAGAAAGGATTAGGGCAAGCCCAGAGAAAACATACAAGCTTTTATTAAATTACTTTATTGGCAAGGGAAGCTGTATTTACGTTTGGTTTCCTTGGATAGGCAGGCCTGGAATTCTTTAGATTGACCTTGAACTCTTGATCTCCCAGTCCCAGCCTCTTAGGTGCTGGGGTTACAGATATGAACAAACTATACCACACTCTGGTGGCGGGGATGGGGGGTGGGGGTGGGAGTTTAAGTAACACAGTCTCTCCTAAAACACAAACGGCTGGTCACAGCTGATCGTGTGGAAGCCAAAGAGTCACTGGTGCCTAGATCCACAACCTTTCTAAACTACAAAGAATCAAGTCTGCACAGGTGGGAAGCACAGGACTGCCCTATCACCTGAAATAGGCCTCCTTCAGAAGCTCCAATACAATTGGATCCCCTTCAAGTGACAGGCATGTGTACACTGAAGCCATCCCTGTGCACCCATGACAAGGTTGTGTGTGGCTTTACTTTTCCAGTATAGTGGTGTCTATTGCAGTCTGCATCTTTGGTTCTAGGGAAGCAAAAAATGAAACATCTTGGTCCGGGTCAGACTGCAGAGCCAAGAGAGTCTCTTCAACAACTCCAAGATGATGGTTCCCGGCATTTCTAAAATATGCTAAGGAGAGAAAAGTTGGAGTTATATGTGCCATGAACTGTGTTCTAGAACATATTCTAATTTTGTTGTCTTTTAAGCCGCATGTCAAGACACTGGATAAATTTTCCATGAATATCCACATACTTAAGTCCTTTCAAGTAAGAAGTGCCTTATTCCAAAACTATTTCAGAGATTTTAATGGTGGGCTGCCAGAAGTGATAGCGGCTTTAAAAATTATCCCTTTGGATGCTCCTTGTTCTGCGATGCATGAGAACTGGCATGTGTGATCAGCAGCACGGGGAGAAGGCTAGAAATGGACAGACAGGCCACGCAGTGGGTGGAAGTAAGGCAGCACAGACACACAGCTTGCACCCACTATCACTCAAGACTAAAGAGCCAAGTGGAGTCACACTGCAGTAGCACTGAGACAGACTTTGGGCTTTCTTTCCTAGGAACTGGAGCTGATAAATGTGCCCTGTCTAGAGAGTGATAGATAGTTTGTATCTGGTGTGCCCTTGTTAAACAAATGGGATTGTGTTCATCTCTTTAGCTGGCTTGTGCCTCCAGTGTGTTGCTATGCAGCCTGCTATAACTCCTTGGGGACCTAGCTGCTACCTGCCACAGCTAAGGTTAACTGAGAATCCAGCAAGGCCCACACACCCTTCTCCAGCAGTGTCTGCCGCAGGGCCTTGGCCAGCAGAACCCTCACATTTGGCACAGGATCCGATGCCAGGCTCAGGAGGCTGGGAAGCAAGTGCTCCACAAATTGGTCCACAGGAACAGACTCGTCATTGACCACGGCCTGCAGAAATAAAAGCCACAGCCCAGCAGTGATTTTCTCAACATTTCAAAGCACACATACTTCTATAATTCTAACGATATCACTTTGGAACCTGTAGGTTTGAGAGCAGTGCACATGTGAACTTTTACATTTCAAGAACTAAATTTAGTAATAAGCAGTGGCTAATTTTCCTAACACCCTTCCAAAGAATGACTGACAAGAGCACAGGATTTAGAGGGAAACATGGGTGTGGAGCCTGGTCTCCTTGTGGCCTCAGGTAAGTTGTTTAGCTTTTCTGCACCTGGCGTTTCTCAACTGCACAGTGGCTGACCCTTTGTACCAATCACGCAGCACAGTACCACCACACTGTACTTCCCTGGCCAGTAAGAACTTGTTCAGAACCCCGCCTCAGAGACAGGGACCCAGATGCTAGCCCAGGCTTGGGTGTCTGTAAGAGCTGGCCATGTCTGTTTGAGCACAGCAGCAGAGTATGTGCAGTACACCCCTCCTTTCTTCTCACAACCGACCCTGGATAGCAAAACTAGCCTTGTTTTATGGGAAGAGTGCCACCAATGTGGTGGTGGTGGTGGCACTGAAAGTCTTAGGACCAACAAGTGAGTGGGGACTTTAGCCAGGTGTGTGGCTTCTGGGTCCTGTGGGTGTTCATGGCAAGGCTAGCATCATTGCAACAATGTATAAGGCCATCAAGGGGCTCTAGGTGCCAAGCTTGCTGTAGGCAGCTGGACTGCATCAGACCAGCCAGCCTGGAACAGCACAGGAGGATACACTTTACTGTGCAGAGAGACTTGGTTGCGCAGGCCACTGGCAGGGAGCTCAGAGAGAGGTTCTAGGCCAACTAGGTCTCAATCCAGACCTGTCTTGTCACCCTGGTACCTTCTTCCCAGAGCTGTGTTCAGATCAAAATTAACAAGTCTCTGAAGTATGCTATCTCCTGAACATCCTTCCCTTGTTTTGTGTTTTTCTTGATTTTCTAAATCTTTAACATTAAGCTTCTTTTTTCTTAAAAAAAAAAAAAAAAGATCTTGTTAGTTTTTCTTGAACAAAATGGATTGGAATCATTTC